GGCGGCCAATGTGTTATTTTTCGTCCTCGTCAAAATGACCGACATGACAGCCATTTATAACATGATTATGCGATCATGGTTTGTCTTGAAAATACATATTTTAAACCTCTTAAGTTCTACCACTGGGATTGAGATGAAATTACCGTGAGTGTCGTTTTTTTCCTTCTGGTTAGTCCGAAATTAAATAATACCATCACATTGAAAAGCTAATTTAAAACCTTCTCGATTCCAATCACCAATGGAGCCATTGCGCTGAAATTTTGTGGGAATGTTTTTATCTTAACTGTTGAAATTTTCCGAACGTTTTAAATCGTGTTTGAACTGTTCCCACTGCAATTACTGCTGTTATATGGTATATTGGTGTTTATAGTCAGGTGACCTTTAAGACACACGATCCTCTTGTTCTATGGTCTCGCCGCGACCTTTTAAGCTGTGGAAAACATAGCGAAGTCCCTCTTTCTCACAAAGTCCCATCATCTCACATCCTCTATTCAATTAGCTATGAATACATTTATGAGACGTCACATCTGATTTAGGGAAGAATTTAAAAAAAAATCCATTGAAGGTGTTGGACAGGTACAAAGGAACGATCTCTGATTGATTAATCGTAACTCGGTTGTTTTTCCAAATTTTACATATTAAAAAAATCTTAGCGCGGTATTATACATTCTGTTCACAAAAAAAATCTTCATTGATATTGATTTTCTAATATGATGAAATCTTCAACTACATGATACACCAAATTTGTTTCGTCTCTTCCACACAGAAAATGTCATAAAGGGTACGCAGAAGTGATCTTATTTCCTAAAGAACTTTTTCAAGAAAGAGATAAATGTCTGTCATTTCAGTTCCTGGTAAACTTTAAGTGTTTCTAAATTATGATCTATGATGTAGATTAACTTGCATAAGCGAAGTTCAAAAACAAAAGAAAATTTACACACCACAGAACGGGAAATAAAAAATGAGTCATTTTTTCACTTTTCATTTTAAATATTCTCAATTTTTTTATGTTCTTTGCCATATTCACAAACAACTGGAAAGGGGTTTCAACCGCTTCAAGATACTTCAAACAAAAAACTTCAGTCAAAATATTGTGATTAAATCAGTATAAAAAATTTTAGGATCGAACACATTTATGTATAAAATACTTTTCGCTTTGAAAGCATACTACGAAGTTTTACGAACATTTTTAAAAATTCCCATCAGGCTATATATAATCCATTTCTAAATTAATTGAAAATTCAAATTTCAAAACAAAACAAAAACCCGGTTAACAAAGATCGATAATGTAGTCAGCTACAGTCTTAGATCAATAACTCTTTGCATGTCTATTTGTTTTTTTTTTTTTTTAAGATTCACGACCTTAATTTTTTTCCATATATAGTCATTTCCATTAAGGATATGTGATATGTACGAAGTTGATATCAAAGATTTAAAACAGAACATATATATCACTTAAAGCCGATCTATACAAGAGACACAAAACAGGCTGTTCTGTTGTAAATGTTGTCAGTGTTGCTTTGTCTATTCAATTTTCAGGTCGGTAAAACGATTTGTATGCACACACGAGAACTGGAGCCTCGTTTTGGTTAATTTGCACTCAGATATACGACAATCTATTACATGAATAGTTTACTTTTTAACTGCTTCCATCTCGCTGTGAAAGGGTTTGTAAAAATTTTAACAAATAACGCTGCGTTTCAATGCATTTAAATGTAAATAATGTATACACACTGGGATCTTATTGTATTTAATCAGCACATACTTAGACCAAACTTAACTACTATGTTTTTGCTGTGATGTCACGTGACTATGCATTATAAGTGTACTCCATTGTTTCCAGAGCAATTGTTGTCGAGGAGGGGAAAATTCTTCATCTTCAAAAAACAATTAGAAATCTCAAATTATCTAATAATGTTCAAGTACAGTAGGTAAGATTTAATAAATCCCAGTTTGGAGCCATAAAACTAAGCATGTATGGTGGTTTAAACAAAACCTTCAACGTACATAATTGACTTCGCCGAAGATGTACTCAAATTTAACTTAACATCGGTGATATTGCTACACTGCACAACAAAGATGGCGGGTATGTAATCTGGTTATATGGCGCGACAAAATACCCACATAGAACATAAAGGAACGCAAGACAGCATCTTGCACGTAATTTGTTGTATTTTAGATAAAGGTCACCAGTCACGTTTCCGGATCACAAATGAAGTAGCATTTTTGACATTTAGTTGAAATGTTTCACGTAAACGGGTGTCTCGAAGTACACACGAGTTATATTGTGTAACATTCAAAACGAGCGCGGAATATTCTCTCCGGACACATTTAGACCGGCGCGGAATTGGAGGTGATATTTTCATACACGAGAGACATTGAAACGGACCTGGAGATTTTGTCGCGATCAAAGCATGCTTCCTTAGCGATAAAAGTTCAACGGGAGATAAAGATGCATATCGTCACATAAATAATTTATCAGGGTGTCGCGATATTGAAAATGGTCGCAATGAAGAAGGCATACTTACATTTATCGCATACATAAATCTCTTTCAACACATACAAACACACATTGTATACCATGATTTACTATCGACGTCAACATCACCTAAACGCTTGTAGTGTGGTGAGAATATAACATTTAGAGTGTCTAGGCAGATGTAAACATAAAACTTAAGAAAGTGTGAATTTAACATAATTTCCATTTGATGTTCCAAATATGATTTCGATTCAGTATTGTGAAGAAAAAATGTGTTTATTATGTTTCAATTCCCTTATTTAGTAATCAAACCAACGTTAAAGTACTGAGACTTAGAAAGATATGGTATAAGGACTCCAATTGTTTCCAGATTCGTAACATCATATCATGTAGACTAATAAACCACGTTACGTATAATTGAAATATTGTTTAAACCAATGAAAACAAAATCAAAAACAAGAAATGGAGAAAGTTGTATTTTTACATGTGTGTGTTTTGTTTACAATAAGGTGTTTGTACACTTGTAAACAAGGGTGGTTAAAATATCCAGGGTTTCTAAGTCAGCCAGATTAAATATTGAGATAACAGTGATATCAACACCGATTCACGCCTCTGTAGTTTGTAAATCTCGACTTATCGTCGGAAGAAATTCGACTCGGAGATACTTCACAGGCTTTAAGTGTTAATTGAATAGATCGAACTGACCCTTACAGAAATAATAAAATTCCTGTGTTATTTTACTTAGATCCGGGATTACATAGAACATCAGAAGTCTGGTCATTCGGCCGATTGTCTATCCGACCAGTCCACTGAGTTTTATTGGCGAGTAAGTGCCTCGTAAATTCACCTGGCTGAATTATCGTTGTCCAGTCATAAGTGACCACAGGTTATTTATTAGAGACGAGACAAGCTACTGCATGGTGCCAACTTTTGACCACCATCACAAGCTGGTCATTTCGACGATATAAAATTCGTCATACGGGTGGACAATTTATGTATTCGTCAATATTAACAGGCCATCGACACGACAAGGACGAACAAGTCGACATTAAAAGACGATATAAGGTGAAAAATAGACGCAAAAAGTAGTGGAAAGAAAATAGGCTGGGAAATTACTTTGATATAATCAAAGTAGACACTAAAATGTGATATACCGTGTTCTCTCCCTCACCACTACTACCCCTCGTCAATAGCACTTTCACATTGAGCACGAATTTCGTAATAAACGATGATATAGCTCGTTTTCTCGGTACAAAGAAGTCTAAAACGGGATTGTAGACTATCAAAGCTGATGTAGTTATTCGTTTCAGTTAATCAAATACTCTACTGAGAGAAACATTTTGACGGAAAGAAAAAATATACGACATAGTAATTCTAGTACGTGTTTAACGTTTGGTGGTTGGTAACCTGGTAGACAATCCGGGATACATGACATTCTAAACGACGGCGAGACATTTAGGCTAGAATAAGATCCCAACTGGCTGCTTTTTACAACTCTCTGGATTAATCACTATTCCAAAATGCAGTTAGAAAGGAGAAAAGGCAAGACGAAAAGAAATACAGTAAAACCTCGTTATCTCGAACTCTCATAAATCGGAGACCGATGAAGCGTCGATCTCGGTCATATTTTACACATTTTACATCCTATCTTACTTAAACCGAATAATCGCATAACTTGAAGTTTTCCTCATAGTCCCGTCTTAAGAGAGAACGAAGTTCGACTGTATGCCATGTCATCTAGGCATACATCTAACAGGAAAAAGGAGACCAGGAAAACATTCTACATTGTTCTGTAGGGTAAATAGAGAGAGCAGCCGAATGGCATTTCACACCGTTTCCTGCTGTTTACCATTTCAACACCTTACCTATGTCCACAAAACAACATATCGAGTGGTTCGATAGTATCTCGTTAGATACCAATAGTTCAATCTATTCAACACCCCTTATACAGTCCGTGACTTGTGCCGGAACCATTTTGTACAAAGTACAGAGTTTATGAGGAAGTAAAAAAGAAAAAGAAAGAAAGAAAGGGCGATGAAGAATGACTTGAGTGTGTGAAGATTATAGAAAGTCTCCATTTTTCTAACATACAATGACTAGCTGACGGTATTAAGTGCTCAGACGGTGTAACGCATACACCTTCAAATCCCATGCATCTCAATTCGCCGCCAACGCACCAAACAACCTTAGCTCATCTGTCTTATTTTGTTTTCAGAAAAATATTATTCCATATAAGGCTTAATCTGTAAAGTGAGACAAAATCCCTATATCTATAGCTTACCCTGTACCGATGATATCCCGGATCTGTCGTTTCCGATTCTACATTCGTTTTAAACTTTATGTAGGTAATGTGAAGTTTCTGAGTTCTGGTAAAATATTATTATGGAACTCGTTTTTCACTAATCATCGTAAAATAACACTATAAACCGAACATGACAGAGAGAGAACAGTTCGGGAAAACAGCTTCCAGTAATTCTGATCTGTTTACCAGCTCTACCTGTAATTGAGCACCAATCTAAACATGCAACAGTTCTGTTTATTTGCTGTCGTTGTTGATGTTGTTGTTGATGATGTTGTTGTTGTTTGTGTTGTAGCTATCATTGTTGTTGCAGTTGCTGTTGTTTGTGTTGTAGCTATCATTGTTGTTGCAGTTGCTGTTGTTTGTGATGTAGCTATCGTTGTTGATGCTGTTGTTGTTGTTCGTGTTGTAGCTATCGTTGTTGATGCTGTTGTTGTTGTTCGTGTTGTAGCTATCGTTGTTGATGCTGTTGCTGTTGTTTGTGTTGTAGCCATCATTGTTGTTGCAGTTGCTGTTGTTCGTGTTGTAGCTATCGTTGTTGCTGCTGTTGTTGTTGTTCGTGTTGTAGCTATCGTTGTTGATGTCGTTCGTGATGTTGTTGTTGCAGTTGCTGTTGTTTGTGTTGTAGCTATCATTGTTGTTGCAGTTGCTGTTGTTTGTGTTGTAGCTATCATTGTTGTTGCAGTTGCTGTTGTTTGTGATGTAGCTATCGTTGTTGATGCTGTTGTTGTTGTTCGTGTTGTAGCTATCGTTGTTGATGCTGTTGTTGTTGTTCGTGTTGTAGCTATCGTTGTTGATGCTGTTGCTGTTGTTTGTGGTGTAGCTATCATTGTTGTTGCAGTTGCTGTTGTTCGTGTTGTAGCTATCGTTGTTGCTGCTGTTGTTGTTGTTCGTGTTGTAGCTATCGTTGTTAATGTCGTTCGTGATGTTGTTGTTGCAGTTTCTGTTGTTTGTGTTGTAGCTATCATTGTTGTTGCAGTTGCTGTTGTTCGTGTTGTAGCTATCGTTGTTGCTGCTGTTGTTGTTATTCGTGTTGTAGATATCGTTGTTGATGTCGTTCGTGATGTTGTTGTTGCAGTTGTTGTTCGTGTTGTAGCTATCGTTGTTGATGCTGTTGCTGTTGTTTGTGTTGTAGCTATCATTGTTGTTGCAGTTTCTGTTGTTCGTGTTGTAGCTATCGTTGTTGCTGCTGTTGTTGTTGTTCGTGTTGTAGCTATCGTTGTTGATGTCGTTCGTGATGTTGTTGATGCTATTGTTGTTGTTCGTGTTGTAGCTATCGTTGTTGATGTCGTTCGTGATGTTGTTGTTGCAGTTGTTGTTCGTGTTGTAGCTATCGTTGTTGATGCTGTTGCTGTTGTTTGTGTTGTAGCTATCATTGTTGTTGCAGTTGCTGTTGTTCGTGTTGTAGCTATCGTTGTTGCTGCTGTTGTTGTTATTCGTGTTGTAGATATCGTTGTTGATGTCGTTCGTGATGTTGTTGATGCTGTTGTTGTTGTTCGTGTTGTAGCTATCGTTGTTGATGTCGTTCGTGATGTTGTTGTTGCAGTTGCTGTTGTTAGTGTTGTAGCTATTATTGTTGTTGCAGTTGCTGTTGTTCGTGTTGTAGCTATCGTTGTTGCTGCTGTTGCTGTTATTCGTGTTGTAGCTATCGTTGTTGCTGCTGTTGCTGTTATTCGTGTTGTAGCTATCGTTGTTGTTGCTGTTGCTGTTGGTTGTGTTGTAGCTATCGTTGTTGTTGCAGTTGCTGTAGTTCGTGTTGTAGCTATCGTTGTTGTTGCTGCTGCTGTTGTTGATGTTATTGCTGTTGTTTGTGTTGTAGCTATCATTGTTGTTGCAGTTGCTGTTGTTTGTGTTGTAGCTATCGTTGTTGATGCTGTTGCTGTTGTTCGTGTTGTAGCTATCGTTGTTGCTGCTGTTGTTGTTGTTCGTGTTGTAGCTATCGTTGTTGATGTCGTTCGTAATGTTGTTGCTGCTGCTGTTGTTGATGCTGTTGCTGTTGTTTGTGTTGTAGCTATCGTTGTTGCTGCTGTTGTTGTTGTTCGTGTTGTAGCTATCGTTGTTGATGTCGTTCGTAATGTTGTTGCTGCTGCTGTTGTTGATGCTGTTGCTGTTGTTTGTGTTGTAGCTATCGTTGTTGATGCTGTTGCTGTTGTTCGTGATGTAGCTATCGTTGTTGATGTCGTTCGTAATGTTGTTGCTGCTGCTGTTGTTGATGCTGTTGCTGTTGTTTGTGTTGTAGCTATCGGTGTTGATGCTGTTGCTGTTGTTCGTGTTGTAGCTATCGTTGTTGATGCTATTGCTGTTGTTCGTGTTGTAGCTATCGTTGTTGATGTTATTGCTGTTGTTTGTGTTGTAGCTATCGTTGTTGATGCAGTTGCTGTTGTTTGTGTTGTAGCTATCGTTGTTCGTGTATGTAAATTAAAATAAAAAACAACTGATGCTGGTTTGGTGTTAAATCACATTAAATAGAGTCACTCGTTCATCTCAGGATGATAAAATACTTTTTTTACAAACGGTTTTCGAGAGGTTGTGGCTACAGTCAATAACGAAAACTGTAGCATCGTGCACGCGGTCTGTGGAAAAAAGTGCATTCGTCGATAATTCAAGATAGCGATTTCCGGTGTTTCCGAAACCGGTGATGTGATTTTGTATTTTTTGTTTCCTTTTAAACTTCACCCCACTGAACTAGGCTTGTTCGCGTGACAGTACTTATAGAAGGAAGCTGTGATAGGGAGTTTAATAATAATAGATTCTGTACATAGCTATGGAATATGATATGGCATACTGACAGCTGTAGGTACTTCGATACGGTCGCGTGCAAAATAAGATGAAGTACTATATAATTCACTCGATGACTCAATTCAATTTGTAAAATGAGACAACTCAAAAATATAAATTGAAACAAAATTATTCTAGCTAGTTACAAGATGAAGCTCAGTAGAAAGAAAACAATGCTATTTCGTTTTTAAGCAAAACGGAGGATAAATTAATTGTTTCTAAAATTTTCCAATTAAACTACGCAGAAAACTGGGTGTTTTCTTGTACTTTAAATTGTTTTAAAATACTTTTTTTCGTCAATACGATGATGAATAGACTGAAAATGTAAACATCGTTACAGATTATTTAAAATGTTTTTCAACGGAACGCTATTATACATGTAAGTATCATCATTTATTATCTGATAGAATTATCCATAAACGGAAAAATCGCCAATCAGCATCACCAGCAACAACAACAACAACAACGACGACGACGACAACGGAAACGACAACCATGACGACGATGACAACGACGGCGACGACGTAATGACAACAACAATAACAACGACGACAACAATGGCTACAGCGACGACAATAACAAGAAGACCGATGACAACAACGACGACGACAACAACAACGGTATCAATGACTAAAGACCGATGACAACAACGACGACGACAACAATAACAACAACGGTATCAATGACTTAAGACCGATGACAACAACGACGACAACAACAACAACGGTATCAATGACTAAAGACCGATGACAACAACGACGACAACAACAACAGTATCAATGACTAAAGACCGATGACAACAACGACGACAACAACAACAACAACAACAACAACAACAACAACAACAACAACAACAACAACAACAACAACAACAACAACAACAACAACAACAACAACAACAACGGTATCAATGCCTAAAGACCGATGACAACAACGACGACAACAACAACAACAACAACAGTATCAATAACTAAAGACCGATGGCAACAACGACGACAACAACAACAACAGTATCAATAACTAAAGACCGATGACAACAACGACGACAACAACAACAACAGTATGACTGGTAACAACAATACCAAATCAACATAACTGATTGATTTTCATTATTTTGACAGTATGCAGGGGCGTAGCTTCTATAGAAAGAAAAAGCCCGGGCTTACACATAAAAAAATCCGTGCATAGAGTATGTCGGACAAAAATACAAAACTAAGGTTGAAAATAAATATCAGGGGTTGACGTTTGTTGTTAAATAAATTTAAAAAAAAGTCTCAGAAAACGATTTAAAACATCTTTGAAATCATGAAATTCAGACCCCTCGTCTGGGCTTACACATTTCTGCTAATCTACGAATTATGTTCTTTCTTTGAAAATTAGAAAAACACTTGGATCACTTTTCACACCATCTGACCTCTCTATCCAGAGGGTATGATCATGGAAGTCAGAAACCAAAATCTGTATGGTCAACAATAACATGTGACAATCCCAACTCTCTGACATATTTTTTGTGGAATTAAACAATACTTCGTATTTCGATTGACTAACACAGACTGAAGAACTAGCGTTTAAAAATCTATATCATTATATATGGTAGTGCAAATACGTGAACGAAATATTCGCGGAACATAAGTTTAAAATTCCATAGCATTTCTTTTCATTATAACTTCTCTCTTATGTCAGCATTTCAATTGTGTCCTTACTATCCGAACTATGAGTTAACTTGTCATGACATATGACGTACGTTATGACGTCATCATTACGAAGTGATCGTGATGCTATTTGAAGTTCTTATTCAAACAACTACATGCTAACCACACTTTAATGTGTCGTGATAATATCTGATGAAGTTGGTTACGTGTGCAGTCAATACCTGAATGTTCGTGAAGCAAGACTTCTAATTGTGACGTCATTATCGACACAACAATTGGATATAAAATATTTTATTGATTATTAATAAGCTTCGTGTTCAAGGAAAAGTGTATTCATAAATAATTTAAAAATCATATTATCTTTCTTTGGCGAGGTGGATTTGGATATTTATTAACCTGAAAAATGTTATATTAACCGAACCTATGTTAATATCACAACTTTCACAGTTATCAAATATTTTAATCAATTTCCACTCTATGTGTTTTTGACATAAACCGAATTAATCGAAAAATGTCGTTTTTGAAAGAAATGTCATTTTTACTCAATTATATTTGTGTTTTTCATCAACATTCTCCAAGGAATTATTCCCTTTCGTGTAGGAATGCCTCTCTTTAGTAGTTACCATTAAACCAAATACTTTGAATTTTCAACAAAGTCAGACAAAACCCGCCTTGGTCGCCGCCACAGCGGGAGAACTGTAACAATATGTACCAGTTAATTGGAACCCACTGAACTATTATTTTCAAACTTGCTTTCAAATATGTCAGAAATATTTGTTCTTAACTGCCAAAAACATTACACAACAATCTAATAAAGATATCGACGCCTTCCGAAAGCAGTCATAAAAGCAAAAAGTCAGGAACGTGGTTTGTTTGAGTGGTTCCAAAATGGGCCACAGCAAATATAAGCATACTGTCCAAATGACTCGTGTGATGTCTCATATCCGCGTTCCGACAGTGCCGACCATTAGAGCATGTTACACTGACAATTTTACTAGCTACAATATACTCATCAACCGCTTTAAGTAGATTTGAAACGTAAGATATAAGGAGGGCCGTGTTTATCGTTTTGCTTCATTGTTATGTAAAGCTCACAAGGTAGATATATATCTAGACATCACGAGCAAATTACGTAATATACTCACCTTTCAACCCCAGGGACACCAAAAGATGATATATATATACATATATATGGGCTTGCACCAAGAAAACGTCCTCACACATATAATCTCGAAACGCAATGCATACACACTACTAGCAGCTGGTAGATTTAAATCCTTTTATGTTCTTAGAAGTCTATAGAGTATATACTCTACCGGACACCGGTTTAATTATCGTTCAATACTCACTCGTGTTTGCGTGTGCTTGAGACTATATTTGACTGGTATATACATGTCAATTATTTTTACTTTTGAAAACAAACATACCGTTATTAATTTTGATAGATTTTACTGATGCATGTTGTTTCGCCTTTGCTCATTATATCACCCCGGACGCTGGTCTCGTGTTTGAGCAACGAAAATATCAATACGTACCAGCCTTGATTGGGTAATCAATCCCAAACGAACGGTCCGGTCACACCATCAAAAGGCCTTCTTTGATATGAGCAACATTTTGTGTTTTTATTTACATAGAAAGAATAACCATACAATTGCTTACAGGTAAAATAAGTTCGATATCAAGATTTGACGCGGTTTTAAAGGACAGGAGTAAACATTCAATACCATAGGGACAAAATAAGTCTATAATTAGACACAATCCCGAGGGGAGGGTCAGTTACGCCTACATATAGAGACTCATACGAAAGGTCTGTGATGATATGAAATTAGACTCAACTCTCTACTTGTCACGTGGTTGTTTGAATTAATCAAAAACTCTCTCATCGTTATGCTAATCGGTACGAAAGGAGCGCGATTTTAATGACCTTGTAACTACGTATGTTTGGTCCCCTCAACAAGGAGTATTTTGTAACGTAAATATAATTAAGAAACTTTCGAAATTGAACCTACAAATCTAATATTTGCAAGGGTACAATGTAGTATAATTGGTTTAAATGAGAACGACGTTTGGTAATAAAAGGCGTTAGGTTTATGTAGAAGACATCCCCGGTGTATTGTAAGCCTTTAACAGCCAGCGTCTTCGTGTATGAGGTCTCTATGTTGCCACCTTTTGAAGTCAGTGTTAGTTTTCACATTTAGATATTTCTACCTTTGAATTTCTGTCACCTGTGTGATATCATTACTCACCTGAAGCCTTCTTACTTCTGCCTGGTGCTCCGATTTCGCATATGATGTCTTTTAAAGAATGAATCTGTAGCAAGCATCACTTGCAGTTGACCTTTGGTCAGTAGACAGTGTCCGAAGAATAGGGTGGCCGGGTGCTCGCGATTACTTCCACACACGTTCCATCTGTTATACAGCTAGTTGAGAGACTATCGGTCAAACCTCCTATAGAGTGTCACGGTAAACCATAAAACACAAACGGCGTCGACGCACTACTTAATTAGTAGGGATTAGTTGCATTTAATTTGAAAATTATTCCAAACATCATCCATATTGCCCTGATAAAGGAGCGAAGTTACTAATTGGCGAAGTAGTTTTCGTTAGAACCAGCAATTACACTGTTTTACGCTCGCCTGCCAATCACCGTCAACTTTATCAGTCTCCCATGAACGTTGATATAATGAGGTCTGATGATAAAGGGGAGTGTCAAAGTTCGTACGACGTAAATTCAAGTGGACAGTTTCAGCACAAGTTCGGTAGACGCTGGTCAAGTAGTTCAGGTTTTGGTCAAGTACTTGTCTTGTCTCTCCAAATTGCTGTTACTTTTAGGCACTGTCAATCTCAAACATATGGTACTAATAGAGACCATTGAAGTAAGGAATTGTTCTAGGGTTCCGGTAGATGGACACTTCACGAGTAGAATCTGTTGCGGTGATACCCATCCTCGCAGTAACACACACACTCACGGCTCTGTCGCGCGC